CATTCCTGCCCAAAAATAGCCCTGAGTATGGAGCAGAATCTAGTATGTATGGCCTCTTGAACTTCATCCACACATCACTAGACACTGCACTCTCACTGTGCTATAGAAATAATTTGCCATGGAATTTCCTGTGTGGACCAGGCAGTCCTCTTGCAAACAGCTAGAGTGCAACAAGGATGCTGTTAACTGCTAGACAGTTATGCAGGTCTGCATATCATGACAATCTTTAACTGTGCAGGCCAAGATGCTGAGCGACTGCTAAAAATAGTAGGGAACAGCCTGGCTTTCTCTTAATCACTCAGCGGACCCAACAGCAGGTCTTTGCTGCATTTACATCCACAGATGCTGCAACCATCACACAAGGTTCAAAGGGCCTTCAGTGAAGATTTGATCAAGAGTGCTGGGAACAGTAGAATTAACACAGGAATTGCCAAGTTGGCAGGCGAGCGAGAGACCCATCTTGCTCTCCCCCCGCACCCCACCCAAAGCCAGGCTTACAGCTTACTCAGATATTCAGGCACAAGGTCTTCACAGTTATCCATGATGAAGACCCTGCGCACATATAGTTTGATGTTCTTCCTCTGCCTGTTGTCAAAGAGATCAAGAGGGGCACGCCTGGGGATGTACAGAAGAGCTCTGAACTCCAGCTGTCCTTCCACCGCAAAATGCTGTGGGAAGAGAACCAGAAATTTGTCAGAAGTGACCTTGCAGCATTCTGCAGATGCCTTTTCCCACATTACTTGGTCATGATACAGACGTCCAAGCGAGCCTTTGGCGGAAGACAGGCAAGCGAGCCCTTCCCTTACTTTTACTGCCAGGTGGTCTTCCCAGTCATTGGCCAGGCTCTTGTAGAATGCTCCATATTCCTCATTAGTAATGTCATCGGTGTTCCTGGTCCAAATCGGCTTGGCCTTATTGAGCTCTTCTGGAACAATAACTTTCTCCTTGGTTGTTCTCTTCTCCTGGTCGTGTTTTCTCTTTTCTTCCTCCGATCCCATATCCTCAGCCTTTGGCTCAGCTTCAGACTTTACTTCTTTTACCTCATCCTCATCACACACTTCTTTCTGACACTCATATTCTACCTGGAGAGACATAGGGAGAAGCTACATAGAAATACAAGAGGACAACTAGTATTTTTTTCTTCCATGTCATGGGCAGAGAAGGCATTTCCCACTATTATTGTTATTATCATTAAAGTGCCATCAAATCGTAACTGACCCCTGGGACCCCTGATTGGTCCAGGTAATCTTTTGTCTTCACCTGGGGCAAGCCCCTCAAGACCTCCCATTGGTCAGCATTGTTCTCTAATGTCTATATCCATCCACACACATGGCCTCAGATTGTGTGCCTGCTCCTGATGCCAACTGGCAGTTCACCCCCAAACTATGTTTGGGCCACCTCTGCTTCTCCATGGAGCCCTGCACATCTGAACAGGTAGTATAAACTGTAACTGAACCCTCTATTCACTATCAATCACCTCTGCTTTCTTAGTTCTGAATCGTTTGCTTCTTTTTGAATGCTTAATGTGCTTGTAATTAGGGATATTCTTCGATAAAGCTATTTTTATTTACCCCTCAACTCTGGAGTCTTCCTACTGTACTGAACCTTGGTATACAATTGGTGTGTGATCCCTGTACCCCTCTGGTCTCCCCTGCCGCATAGCTAATTTCCCCCAACAACGAGACAGACCATTGGTGGTAACAGGACCTGATGGGTTGGATAGTAGCTGAACCACCCAAGAGAAGAGAATTGGTACAAGTCTAATTCCGTGGACCTTTGGTAACCAGGATGAAGCAAAAGATCTCACTAGCTTGTTTTAGGCTAAGTGGAATTATTCCTTCCCTGGAGGAGATGATAAACTGTCTCAAGAACCCAGACCACTAATATCTTCCATCTTGATAGCAGCAACCAAGGAGGACAGCATGGTTTGTGCCACAGTCTTTTCTCTCAACCCAAGTATCTTGTCCATGTTCGCAGGTGTCAACTATGGACACTTACCAGAGGATGACCTACATATTCCTATTTTTGGAGGATCAAGTGCACCCCCTGCCCCAGTTCTCTCGCCTATTGTTGTAAGATCCAGCTGAGCTCCCCCTTGCAGTACATGAACATCTATACAGCTGTCCCAGCTATTCAGTGAACACGTTATCCCCAGTTAGAGGTTTTGATCTTGCCTCTAGCAAGAGAGGTCCTAAGTTTCTAGTATAAAATTCAGTTTATGCAGTATGTACACCGCTCCCTGCACCTTGGTTATTTACACTCGATTGTTTCATGAGAAGAATACTTACAAAGAGTGTTATTGGATAGCCAATAAACTGGGAATGCTTATTGACTACCACCTTGAGTAGTCTATATTCCAAGTACTCCAAATGGTCTTCCTTCAGAAACAGAATAACTTTTGTACCACGGCCTAGAGGCTCACCTGGTTAAACAAATACAGTAGTTAGAGCTGATTGAAGACTCTAGCCTTAAAAACCTTGTTACCAAGTCAGCTACACTTTCTTTAATCCCATGTAGAGCCTAAGGCAAAATTTTAGCTACATATGAGTGATAGTTTGGAGGCAGTTCTGGGAGACACTATGAATTTTGAACAGTTTCAGAACTTAACAATTCTCCCAGAAGACACTGCGGTAGTTATAGTGGTGTTAACTGTGCAGGGGAAATATTCCTGTACTACAGTGGAAGTAAGTTGACAGGAAGGAAATGGATTCATTTTAAATGTGGTGCTGGGGGGTAGTTTTATGGATACCATGACCTGCCCAAAAGATCATATTGAGCCTGAATTATCCCTAGAAGCTAAAATGACTAAACTGAGGCCATACAATCCTGAGCCTTTGGGGAGGGCAGGGTATAAATCTAATAAATAAATAAATGATGAGAAGATAACACTCACTGGGAAAGACAATAATGCTAGGAAAAGTTGACGGAGGAGGAGGAAAAGAGGAAGACCCACCATGAGATGGATTGACTCAATCAAGGAAGCCACAGTCCTCAGGTTGCAAGACCCGAGCAAGGCTGTCAATGATATGACATTTTGGAAGTTGTTAAATCCTAGGGTAGCCATAAAACGGAAGTGACTTGACTGCATATAACAGCCACACGTGGTAGATCTCATTGGTTGCTTATCCATCAGTACCTTCAGCACTAACTGAACATGATTTAGAATAAGGCCCTGATCCGACTTTCCAGGAGCAACAGACTCATTCCTGTAGACCCTGGATTTGGCAGTACTGTGGCAAGGCAATTCTTGAGGCTGAGAGAGCAGATTACAGGTTCCACCCGCTATTCTAGTATTCTCCCAGTAAATTGTCAAACCATGCTTTGCTAGCTTTGTTTGCCATAGTTATTGGGGAAGGAAATTCCTCCAGGGAGGGGGGATGAGTGCATGAGTGAGAGAATAGAACCTTTGCTTCTAGAAGTCATAACTTTCTTCACAAGTCACACCTCTTTTCCCTTTCCCAGGGTAAGGTGTCCTTGAGAGCTTCTCTGTACCAACTTGAGCTGCCGATAACCAAGACCAATGCTCCCTCTAAGCTATGGAGTCCTGTGAGCAAAAATTCTACTTTGCGAGCTACTGGCATTAAAGTTGTTAGCAGGGGATTAGGCTGCTGCATAAATTAGTTTGCTCTGGAGCCCTCCTTCCTGAGCTGAGATAAAAATGTGTGAGCCAGAGGCTAAAGAACTGTGAGCCAGCTCACACTAACTCAGCTTAGAGGGAACACTGACCAAGACACTTGGTTGGGATGGCAATGTTAGGCGTGGTGTGAATGTGACATATGCTTGAGGGAAAGGAAGGGGCTTTTATTCAGATTACCTATATTAAGCTCGTACCCACCCAAAGTCTTCAGTTCTAACACAATGACTTTCTGGATCTTGCATATATCTCAATAAACGTATCACTGCCAAGAGAGAGCTGTTGAGAGTGACTGGACTGGGGCCCCCGACATAAGTGTGGCAGACTTGTGGAAGCATTTAACAGCTCATCCTACAGCACGATTTGCAGATGCCCACTCATTTTATGAGCAGAGCCTAAAACTATCTCCATCTGACAGCCCTCCTTCCTTTAGCTGCCACCATAGGAAGAGCAGGAGGCAGCCAGGTGGCTCTCCATTGTGCTGACCATCACCTTCCCCAATGAATTAACACTAGGTGTTGATACCTGTGAGGTAGTTAGAGAGCCAATTTCTCGGCTCAAAATAGGATAAACAGACATTCATTGATGCCTTCTTACTCTTTCCATATACAGATTTTTAATTTACTAGAGAAAACAGTCTTGTTGTTGTTCAGTCGCACAGTCGAGTCCGACTCTTCGCGACCCCATGGACAAGATCTTCTTCTATATCCCCCTCTATAGCAGACGTAGCTATGCCCCTTCTATAGAAAAAGATGGTGGTGGTGGGAGAGGAAAGTGGCGTCAAGTCGTAGCCAGCTTACAACAACCCAGCAGGGTTTTTTAGGCAAGAGACTTTCAGCGTCGCTTTCCCATTGCCTGTCTCTGGGTAGTCACCCTGGATTTCCTTGGTGGTCTCCCATTCATGTACGGCCCAGGGCTGATCCTGCTTAGCTTCTAGGATGTGGACAGAACAGACAATATTTCCAGGTTCAAAGCACAGACACTAAAACAACCGGTCATGGAACCGACTTAAGAGGAGAAAGTCCCGGACTTGCCCAATCATCTCAGTCAACATCAGTGTTCCCTCTAAGCTGAGTCAGTGTGAGCTATCTCACAGCTTTTTAGCCTCCAGCTCACACATTTTTGTCTCGGCTCAGGGAGGAGGGCTCCAGAGCCAACTAATTTATGTAGCAGCCAAATCACTCGCTCACAATTTTAATGCCAGTAGCTCACAAAGTAGAATTTTTGCTCACAAGACTCCATAGCTTAGAGGGAACATTGGTCAACATGTGAACAAATGGAAAGCCATTCCAACGGGACCCCATTTAGTTTTTTTAAGAAGAGGACCTCCAGGTTTAGAGGCACAGATACCCTCTGAATATGAGTTGCCGGGAAGTACCTTATCCCAGAAAGATCTGTTTACCTTCACAGGCTGCTTTTGGACTTCCTGAAAGAAGCCACTGTTGCCAACAAGACGCTGGTCTGAATAACAGACCCTTTGTCTGATCCCACATGGCTTTTATGTTCTTGTTTGTCTAAAGAAGAAAGACATCAACCCCTTACCATGGTCCAGCCTGACCGTGAATGAGCCCCCAGCTGAAGACTCCCAGGCATACTGCTCATCGTCATTGTGCTTGCTGATCACGGTCACTTTCTCAGCAACCAGATAGGCAGAGTAGAAGCCGACACCGAACTGACCAATCATGGAGATATCTGCACCATCCTGCAAAGCCTCCATGAAGGCTTTGGTGCCAGACTTGGCAATGGTGCCCAGGTTGTTCACCAGGTCAGCTTTGGTCATCCCAATGCCCGTATCTACAATAGTCAGGGTACGGTCATGCTTGTTGGGAATAAGAGTGATCTTCAGATCCCTCCCGGAATCCAGTTTGCTGGGGTCAGTCAGGCTTTCATATCGAATTCTATCCAACGCCTGAAAGACACAAAGGTGGCCTGTAAGTACACAGGAGACCTTGGTGGAGGTAAGATCTTTGGACTAGGTTTACTTACATCAGATGCATTGGAAATCAGCTCCCTGAGAAAGATCTCCTTATTGGAATAAAAAGTGTTGATGATCAGTGACATCAACTGTGCTATTTCTGCCTGAAAGGCAAAGACCTCCACCTCATCCCCTTCCAAGGAAGTAGCCATCTTTTACTTCAATCTAAGGGGGGGAAAGATATTGATCAGTTCCTTTCATGCCATTGCAAACTCTCAAGTTAACTTTATTCTAAGATTATTCAAACCTGATTCTCCCAGATGAGAGTACTACTTTAACAGCAGTGGTTTGTTTTTTTTAAGAGACAGGGTGTTGTTGTTTTTAAATCCCAGCCTGTCATCATGGAATGCAGCATGGCTCCCCAATTCCACTCTGCAACTCTAATTTACAACAACCTCCCATTGTCATGAGAAGCTTTGCCTGCCCGTTTCTACAGAAGGAGGAGGAGATTGGATTTCTACCCTGCCCTTCACTCAGAGTGGCTTACAAACTCCTTTCCCTTCCCCTCCCCACAACAGACACCCTGTGAGGTAGGTGGGGCTGAGAGAGCTCTGACAGAAACTGCTATTTTTCAAGAACAGCTCTGACAGAACTCTGGCTTACCCAAGGTCACCCAGCAGCTGCAAGTGGAGGAGTGGGGAATCAAACCCAGTTCTCCCAGATTAGAGCCCATGCACTTAACCACTACACCAAACTGGCTCTCACTTAACCACTACACCAAAAGGGGCAGTACACTTCTTTTCTCCAGGTTGTTAGCAACCCTAGCCAAGAGTTACAAAGTCAGATACTCCTCCGCACCAAGAGCCTCCCCCCTGCAATTTTCTAAGCTCTTGGAGACTGAGCAGACTGCGACTTCCTTCCTATTCCCCCCTCTCTTTTTCTGTATGCTCGAGGTGTTTCCCCTGAGTATACAGAAACCTCTGCCTGCCTAGGGTTTCTGACTGCCTAGAGAGACAGAATGGTCCTTTCCCTTTAACAGAGACTTAATTGGATGTTTATCAGGTGATGTTGCTTACCTCTCGGTCATAAAGAAAAAGAAGAGTTGGGTTTATATCCTGCCCTTCACTCGGAGTCTCAGAGCGGCTTACAATCTCCTTCCCTTCCTCTCCCCACAACAGACATCCTGTGAGGTAGGTGTGGCTCAGAGAGCTCTTTCAATAACTGCTCGTGAGAGAACAGCTCTGAGAGAACTTGTGACTGACTCAAGGTCACCCAGCTGGCTGTGTGTGGAGGAACGGGGAATCAAATCCACATCTCCCAGATTAGAGTCCACAATCCTAACCACTACACCAAACTAGCTTCAGCTGCCCATTTGCACCCATTAAGACTCTACTAAAGGAAGAGGACATTTTCCTCCAGGCCTGTTGGCAACCATGTCCTTGCCTGTGGTTAGCCCCGTGGTGTAGCTTTTGCTCCTGGCATGGAAACCAGGCAATTAGATGTTAGATACAACACCTCCTCACATAGCAAGCCAAAGGCCATAAAATCAGCTATCTCACCCTTACCAATAAAACCTACCTTACAACAACTCAAGCCAAAACTTCAATATTCTCCAAGACTGAGTCCCTCCCATTTAAATATAGAACAAGCCAGGATGGGGTGGAGTTAATTAACTGAGTAGTTACTATTGGCTCCTCTCTCTCTCTCTGTTTGGTTATTAAAGTACAAGAGCCAGTGTGGTATAGTGTTCAGGATGCTGGACTATGAAGATACACCTTTGAATCTCCACTTTGCCATGGAAGCTTTCTAGGTAACCTTGGGCTGGTCACAGGGTTGTTGTAAGTATAAAATGGAGGGAAGGAGAACAACGTAAGCTGCTTGTCTAAAAGTCAGCCCATTGTTTCCCATGGACATTACTGCTAAGTAAGAATGCAATTGTGTATATGCTTACATGGGACTAAGTGTCTTTGAAGAGAAGAAGAGTTTGGGTTTGTACTCTGCCTTTCACTACCCGAAGGAGTCTCAGAGTGTCTTACAATCCCCTTTCCCTTCCCCTCCCCACAACAGAAACCCTGTGAGGTAGGTGGGGCTGAGAGAGCTCTTTTGAGAACTGCTCATGAGAGAACAGCTCTGAGAGAACTTCTGACTGACCCAAGGTTACACCAGCAGCTGCATATGGAGGAGTAGGGAATCAAACCTGATTCTCCCAGATTAGAGTCTGCACTCTTAACCACTACACCAAACTGGCTCTCAGTTTGGACCAGGGCTGTTAAGTAGAGCAAAGCTGGTGAGTGGCCTGCCCCATCTGAATCTCCTACCTAAGAATGTTTTTAAAAGCCTTGAATTAGTGACATGTCACCAAGCTAAAAAACGTAACCTAAATGAAGGAGTTACTTAATAATTCAAAGTGTTTATTATTTCCTGTGCTCTTCGTGAGCTTTATTTCTAAGGCCAAATCCAATTAAAAGATAAAATACTAACTTTAAAAGAAACTAAAACAGGAAAAGGGAAGTAGATAAATTCTTCTAATGCATGCAAAATTTAAAATAGCAAGAATTAAACACAAAATTAACCGTAATATGTATATGGAAGGGGGACGATAAATATTAAAACCAGTAAAACTTCTTATCCAGCAAAGTAGTAACTGAACATCATATGAATAACAGACAATGGGGGTGGGGGGAGAAGATGAAACAATAGCTTACTCAGAAGCCAGAGATGTGCTTTTAATCTGAAGCCGGGGGTGGGGGCTGGATCCCTCAAGCTCTCCAGGGAGTGTTCTTCCCGAAACATGGTGTCATTGTTCCCTGGAAATTAGCTGGGGAGGGTCAAACCTTACCTGCAAATGTTGCCGCCCTGGGCTTTTATTTTGGAAAAAGAGGTGCCAGAACTTTCAAGAGGGAAATGAAGTTTTTAATCTGTACACTGAAAATTAATGAACTTTTAAACATTTTAAATGGAATTTGGTCAAAGAGGTTCCAGAACTCCGTTCCAGTGCGTTCCCCCAGAAAAAAAAGCCCTTTTGCAGCCCCGCATAGCATGGAAGGCTGAGTATAGCCTTGCATTGAACATGGTGAAACTTGCCTCCCAGTAAATGTACTTGGGACCCTGGATGGCTCCAACCAGCCCTATCTCATCAGATTTCAGAAGTTAAGCAGGGTTGGCCTTGGTTAGTATTTGGATAGGAAACCACTGAGGAAGTCCAGGGTTGCTAAGCAGAGGCAGACGATAGCAAACCACCCCTGAACCTCTTACCTTGCAAATCCTATAGGGTCACCATAAATCGGCTGAGTTTTAATGGCAAGTTCCCCCAAACATGAATGGAGCAGGCTGTGGATAGGATTGGGACTTTAGCCTAGAGGTGTTTACTTGGAAGTAAATCCCATTCCAAGTTATCTGTGCCTTGCTCCTTAATAAGCCCGTAGTAATGACACTCAACCTACCTGCTCCTATAGTAAAGATAAAGGTTTCCCTTGCTCGAAAACAAGTCGAATCCGACTCTAGGGCTGCGGTGCTCATCTCCGTTTCCAAGCTGAAGAGCCAGCGCTGTCCGAAGACGTTTCCGTGGTCATGTGGCCGGCATGACTAAACACCAAGGCGCACGGAACGCTGTTACCTTCCCACCGAAGTGGTACCTATTTATCTACTTGCAATTTCTTGCTTTCGAACTACTAGGTTGGCAGGAGCTGGAACCAGAGACAGGAGCTCACTCTAGTTCTCTGCAAATGGACTCTCTGTTGTGCATTAACTTGAATACTAAAGTCTGGCTGTATTAAATGACTGCACATCTGCAGCCTCAAACATTGTTTGGAGTTCCGATAAATTTTCAATCTGATAGTATCCATCCTTATTCAAAAGTAACTATGTTATCAATAGTGCTTACTCCCAAGCAAGGCTGCAGTGTTTAGTCAATCAGTAAAATGAATGGATTAATAACAATTGCTGTCAAAGATACCCCAAGTAACTGCACTGCACATTATTTTTTAAAATGCAAGAACTTATAAAAACTGCAGGCGGCAGGTGCCATGTTACCAGTTCCCCCTGCTCTCAGATAAAGAATGCTTCCATTAAGGTAAACAGAGAGGTCTTGGTTTGGCAGTAGAGCATCTTCTTTGGGTGTAGAAGGTCCCAGGTTCAGTCCCCAGCATCTCTAACTGAAAGGACCAGACAGCAGATGTAGTGAAAAAACCTTCACCTGAGACCATGGCGAGCTGCTGCCAATCAAAGCAGACATTACTGATCTTGATAGACCAAGGGTCTGACAAGGAGGGCTATTTTGGGGCAGGAACGGAGTTCCGGCTGGCTTCCAAGTTGGCCACGCCCGGCAGGAACTCATTAGCATAATAGGCCACACCCAACAGCAGAAACTCGTTAGGACTGGCTACGTTAGGGGTGTGTGGCCTAACATGCAAAGGAGCTCCTGCTACAAAAAAGCCCTGGGTTTGGACAACAAACAAGGTAAACAGAATAAGAAGCAGAAGGTGGGTGTGGCTGGATGAGGACACTTCTGGTAACATGGGGTGTGTGGCCTAATGTGCTAATGAGCTGTGCTGTCAGGGGTGTGGCCTAATATGCTAATGAGTGTCTGCTGTTGGGTGTGGCCTATTATGCTAATGAGTTCCTGCTGGGCTTTTTCTACAAAAAAAAGCCCTGCTGACAAGTAGAATGAAGCTTCATATGTTCAAGCAATGAAGAGACCTGGGACACCTTGAAGACGCTAGGTGGCTTTCCCGCCTCCCCAGGCTCCCTGGCTCTTTGACCTCTTGAGTCCCTGAGTTCCCAGAGAGGAGTTGCTGGGAGTGAAAGTAGGAAGAAAGATCCATGATGACAAGCGCTGTCCACTGGCTCTTCACTGACTCTGACCTTAACCAAAGGTTAGACTGTAAATGCATTGAGACTAGGATGGGCACAAAGAAAGGAACTGCGGTTCGAGCATGAACCAGGCCAGTTTATGGTTCATTTTGAATTGCTTTGTTTGGTTGTGTCGTTCCTGAATCTAGAAATAAACCGCCTTTCTTCTGTAGAAGTTCATTTGGTTCGTTAGAGCATTTCGTTCTCCAGACAGCCTGGGGTGAGTCAATCAACCCCGGGAGTGAACTTGTGGAGAGCCCTAGAAACATCCATAGCAGTTGTCCATAGCTTGGTTGACAGCTCTGAGAGCCAACCACGGAGCTCCCACACCATGACTCAGCTGCTTTGACTTTGCAGCAGG